TTGTGTTTATGCAGTGCAACTCCCACCCAGTGGGTGGCTATGTAGAGTGATAGAACAGAGCAGGCACGCCCCCGAGAGAAGGAAAGCAAGTCACGTCACAAATTAGCATTTCTAAAATGTTAGCGTGGATTAATAAAAGTGCAAAAAGACAGCGGTTGTCGCCGGAAGAAACTTCAAATACAGAGAATGCTGTGCCTGTGTTGGAAATTGTGTCTGATGGGGAGCTTTCTTTGGTTGATCCTCCTGCTCCAAGTTCTAGTGCATTAGCATTAGCACTAGCTCCGCCGCCTCCTCCAGAGCCTCTAACGTTAGCTGCTGCTGGCTCAACTGCCACCACCAACACCGGGCAAAGCGATGCACCTGACTGCTGGACAACGGACCAGGTGCAATATTTTTGCAAGACCAATGCATGGCTCCTTCTTAAAGATAAGAAGCTAGGATGTCGGATATGCAGAGATGTCAAATCTTTGGGAATACACACTGGACAAGGACTGAAACTGTCAACTGAATGGGGTGAGTGTGCAGTGTCTCATTTCGGTGTTGACAAGGGCAAACAACAAGCTAGCCTGAGAAAAAAAATCAAAGAACATAAAGAATCACAAGCCCATGTAAAAGCTGCTGACATCCTTACATCTGCTTCACGTGAAACTATTCAACATCAAGTGCAGTCTATGCATAAATCTGAATTAGACACCACTATCAGAGTTTTTCGAACGGCATATACAATTGGCAAACATAGCCGGCCATTCACAGACATGCCAATTGATTTGAATGTACAGAAACTGAATGGGCTGAACGTGGGCAGGGTTTTGCACTCCAATAAAACCTGTGGCGAAATCATCGACCACATAGCTCATGAGCTGAAGAAAAAAATGGCAAAAGACATTACAGAAAACCAAAGAAAACTCTGTGTTTTGGTCGATGAATCTACCACTATTAGTGGTAAAACGGTGCTTGTTGTGTGTCTACGCTCAGCATTAGCTGATGCTGAGCCCGAAACGTTTTTTTGGGAGCTGATCGAGTTGGATGGAACAACGGCTGATGACATCACAAAGGCGTTAATGGAGTGTCTTGGAAGAGATTTTAACGAGGACTTTTTAGGTCAGTGTTTCGTTTCTTTTGCATTTGATGGGGCTTCAGTCATGCTAGGGAAGAGAACAGGCGTTGCTACCCAGTTGTGTAGTAAATTCCCAAGCCTGTTTGTGTGGCACTGCTCCAATCATCGTCTAGAGCTGGCAGTTGGGGATGTGGTCAAGGAGGTCTCAGGGCTCAGTCATTTCCAGATCTTTTTTGACAAACTCTATTCCTTGTTCCATGCCTCCCCCAAAAATCAGAGGCAGTTAGCGCAGTGTGCGCAAGCAGTCGGACAGCGTCTCCTGGTGATAGGGCGTGTTTTGTCCATCCGCTGGGTGGCTTCAAGTGAAAGGAGCGTCAGAGCAGTCTGGGAAAACTACCGAGTGCTTCATGATCACTTCACAAATGCTGCAAACGACACGAGCAGGGATTCCAGAGACAGAGCAAAGTACAAGGGCCTGGATGATGTGCTCACATCTGCAACGTTTGTCAGCAATCTGGGACTGATGTACGATGCGCTCACAGAGCTCAGCGACCTCTCTCGGCAACTCCAAAAAAGAGAGATGACACTGCCTACAGCAGATAGGCTCTTAACTCGAGAAATACGAGTTTTTGAATCCATGGTCACCATGCCTGGCCCACACATGACTACAGTTCATACAGCTCTAGCTGAGAAGTCCTTCAAGGGTGTTGCCCTGCGTGAGAATGGCAGGCTTGTACAGATTCATGCAGGTCAGTTTTTCCGCAGTATGGTAGAGAATCTGAGACACAGAATGACTTCCACAACCTCCTCTCATGTCAGCACAAGAGAAATCCCATTACATGGCCAGGAGGCCCGGGACAATCAGCTAATCCAGGACATGAAAGTTATCCATCCTGGAAGTTGGCCTGAAGAGGAGTTAGACGTACAGTATGGGGACGTAGAGGTGCTACGTTTGTGCGAAGTGCTGAAAGTGGACAGAAGAGAGACTGTTCAGGGCTTTCGCGAATACAAGGAAACCAGGGCATCCCGTACACCTGCTGCCATGGAGCCTCTACTGAAAGCAGTCCGAACCATCGCTGTCTCCACTAGTGAGTGTGAGCGGGCATTCAGCTGCATGAACGATATCCTTACTGCAAAAAGGAATGCTCTCTCTGTCAGCCGACTGTCCAGCCTGGTTTTCATTAAATGTAATGGACCATCACTAGGACAGTTCAATCCGGAACAGTATGTGAGGTCCTGGCTGGCAAAGGGAAGGAGAAGTGCTGATGAAAGAGCCTGTCCAGCTCCAGCCCCTGATACTGATGTCCCCAAGGCCTTCTGGAGCCTTTTCTAACAATGTGAAGTATATTGCAAAGCAGCTCACCCAGTGAGAAGACTTTTGGCATAATGTGCCGATTTGTACAGATCCTGGAGATAGAAGGACTTCAGACCAACCAGGGAGTTATCTGATCAGCTTGGTGTTCAATGTAACTCTTTACCATGGCTCAGACTTTGTTACTTGCAGTTACAGTTTCTCATTTTAGATTGTGCAAATTTTGCATTTGTTTTTACATGTTCTTTGTTCATGCTCTTTATCATTTTTCTGAGTTGGAAAGTTAGATTGCATCATAGTTTACTTTATACATATTTGTATTCTTCAGTGGTGAAGTATATTGCAAAGCAGCTCAGCCATGTGAGAAGACTTTTGGCACTTTTTCGTTTTTCGTTTTCTGAGTTGGAAAGTTAGATTGCATTCAAAATGTACAGAAATACTTAATTTTGTTAAAGCTTTTTATAAAAAATGCTTCTGACCAGAGCTTTGTTTCCTTGTCATTAATGTTGAACACCACCAGAGGGGCTCTCACCTGAAAGGTCTCTGCTTCATGTGTCTTCAGCAGAAGATCTAGACTTTGATTGCTATATTTTCAGTTAATATTGACCTTACTGAGCTTTAGCCATATCCGCTGCCTATCATAAAAAATGTTAAGTACAGTGAACCTTTCTAAAATATACAGTAGTAAAGAGACAAACCCACCAGCATTATAGTAGCCAAATTCTTGTTTGTGGGCTGTATATATAAAATTGACTTGAAAAAGTTGCTGATTTTAGAGTACTGGCACCTTTTTCATTCCAATTCAAGCACTGCATATCTGACATTAACGATTAAACACATGTGTGCATTCTTTATAAATGCAAACCGAGTCAAGCCGACTCCGGAGGTGGCGGTATGCACCTTAAAGTTGTTTGCAATCCGCCAAAAAACGGAGAGAAGAAGAAGAAGACGAAGCCGACTCCGAGCTGTCCGACTTCAGGCGAGCTTTTTGAGACCTCCCCCGGCTGCGATCGGCTATTCTCGTCTACTTTCGAGGCGAGCCGCAACGCGTCTCAAACAAGCCTAATGACTTCCACTGTCTGATGTCGAAAACATTTCACAATAAAAAGAGACCAAGATTTTTGATTGATTTACAATGTCTTAATCTTTTAGAATAAACAATGTTCAGGTGCTGTTCTTTTACAATAACCTGATTGAGGATCCTGCAAACTGACAATGTTTTTGTTTCATTGCTGTTTGTTCTGTGTCTGGACTTCCTTGAAGAACCAGAAAAACATCAGTCACTTCATATCAATATGTAAGTGTCTGGTTGTACAGCATGTTCTGAAACTGGATAATGTTTAAAACAGAACTGCATTTTACACTTTATTAGCATAGTTCAGGGGAGCGATGTAAGAACACATTTTCTCTTATTATGTCATTTTTGATTTTACCCAGGATTTTGTCTTGTTCTGTTAGTACCCTACCTTTTTAGTGTATCTAAATACATAATAAATGTTTCTTTGACAAAATGTTGTTGTTATTTAAGCAGTTGCTTAACCTCATAGTTGTGTCCCTTCTCATGCTGCATTCCACATCATGCTTTCCTCTGAACATTTGTACCACACATAGCCTCAGTAGGTTGTTGCTGTGCGAACTTGAAATGAAGCTTACTCACAGCTCTTTTGAAACAGGGAACTGAAGCATTATCTACACCTAATGTAGGTAAATGTCTGTGGATACGTTTCTCAACCCTACAAACAAACCAAATATCCCTTAAAGAGTAGCCCACTGCCGCCTAACAGTCCACACCATACATCCTATTAAAATCACCCCAAAGCATTCAAAGCAAGACTTACAATTCCAATTAAGTAAAGGAAAATAAATGGTATGTAATTTCCTTTTCATTTAATCCTTAGTTTTTCCAAAACTACTAAGGCTGTTTTAATGCAAGAAGAAGAGCATCGAAACTTACACATTCCTACACATTCCTAGGGAAAAATTAAATAAACTAATAAATAAGGTAAAAAACAAGCAAAATCAGTTCATGATTTGCATTTTTGCATTACATCTCAATTGAACAGATTAAAGATGTGGGACATTAAGGCAAAGGATTGACAACATTACATCCTTTTTTTACGAATCTCTTTGGTTAATGGACAACATTTTTGGAGCACATGTTATATATTAATAAATCCTTAGTGCTGCTTTCTCAAAAGCATGATCAATATGTCAACATTGAGCAAATATCAACATTTTTGTACTATTTACCAAATGAGGAAAGGTTTTCTGTGGGTGAAATAAAAAATGTTTTTGGACTGGTAACTTATTGGTGATACTAATATTACTTTAAAAATGGCAGTCACCCTTTAAGCAGCTGCAAAAAATGTACTCCTTCTTTCATTTTATTTCATATACCACACAGTGTTTGCTGTTTAGCTTGAGTGTCTGTACGTCTACGTTTTTCTAAGCCATTGTACTGTAGCTACAGTGCTAATGCTAACTCTTAAGCAATGTGGGAACACAAACTGCTCAATCACTTCAATCCATCAAAACGTGAAACCATAACACAACCTGTATGGGTGAAACTACTCTACATTGGTATTCTAATATAATTATAAATGATGAACAACACATGAACAAATTGACAAATTATTTTCAATGCATGTTTATTAATTTAAGAGGAACACTTTGAGATGCACCTTCTCGTTTCCATGGGGTTTATTGTGATGTGCCTGCCATTTCATTATGTTAACAGGTTAATTGTTTGGAAGCTGCTGAGATTGTAGGATCTGCAAGGAACAATACATATTATTTCAGACAAATACTTTAAACAACGGACAGCATAAAACGTGATGGCTTTCATCGCTGTCAAATTGTCTTTTAGGTTTTAGTAATTGGCCTTTTTTTCAGAAGTGTGGTAGCAACACTTTGTAGACATTTGAGATACTTACACAAGTGTAAGTAACCTCCAGGTACTTGTAAGTGCCGCCACAAGGGTCTCCAAACTCGGAATTGGTTGCACTGATAGTGCAGCTGTTTTGTCCATTGCAGCTGTGGATGGAGAGTGACATGAGTGAATACACCCACATATACAGTCTATGGTGTAAACCTAAAGATATTTCATATAGGTTCAAATAAAAATCACAGCCTTTCAATCAGCAAGTATCGTATGTCATTAAATATTTTGCAGATTCCTATTTTTGCATTTTTAGCTGCTTTTAAATGCAAATGTTTATTGTTATGAAGCTTATAAAATAGTTCTCCCTATATTAACAAAGGCTGTGCAGCTTTACATGTTAGCAACTTTGCGAGAATGGTCCGAGCAGTCGATTCTTTGAAGCTGGGAAGTGGGCCGATTGTAAGAGCAGGTGGTACGGTCATGGCGTCCGTAGTTAGCACCGTAGATAAATATAATCTTTCCTTCATCTGTCAAAAAGAACACGACAATTGGCAACGTATGACAGAACTGTAATGTAGATTTATAGATGTATTGAGAATATCATTAGGCTTCTTACCGCATTGGAGGTGTGCCAAAGAGCCCTCACATGCATCAAAGTTAACTGTCAAAATAACATGATTGAATCACATCAGACATCACATTATAATAGGTTCAAGTTCAAGGTTCAAGGATTTTATTGGTCATACGTGCATAGCTACAGTGTAGTTATGACGATGAAAATCTTAGGTCACAGGCTCCTCCAACAGTGCAACACAATAAAACAGATAAACATAAAAAATAATAGTGCAAGTAAATAGTAAATACAAATGGAAAAATTGTAAAAAAGTGAAATAGTGCAAGTGATTGGAATGATATATTAGATAAATAATTTCTAAGTAGCAGCCAGATTAATGTTATGATGTTGTTTCAAGTTCAGGTGTTTAACAGTCTTATTGCCTGTGGGATGAAACTGTCCCTGAGTCAGGTGATTTTAGTCCGGATGCTGCGGTACCGCCTGCCAGACGGCAGCAGACAGAACAGTTTGTGGCTGGGGTGATACTTTATAAAGCTTTGTTTTTACTGTTAGTTTAATGCAGACATGTGACTCACTTGCTGGGAAGCAGTCATAGGTGGTTTCCAGGTATTTGGCGGTACCATAGCAGGGATCCTTAGAAAAGACTCTTGGGTTTAGTTCACACTCCGTCTTGCCGTCACAGCTGTAGGGAACAAATTAGGAGTATGTTTGCTTCAGCGCAGAGTAAAAGCACACCTAAAGTTAAATTGAGTAAATAATGTAGTAACCTGGACTTATCTTCAACCCCAAGCTTTAGGTGCAATATATAATGTGAAACTAGGACTTGAGAGTGTAAAACTCTTGTTTAATATACAGTATAATGTAATTGTTCCGTCAATTCAGTCAAATATCTTTGCTCTTCCACTTCTTTATGCAACTTCGATCAGCCAAATTAGTAGTAGGGAACTGCTGCATCTAGTAAAGTGCATGACTGCCTGTTAAATGTCATCAAAGTAAACATTTAAGGCACTGCATTTGGAATACATTAATTAGAATGCCTATGATAATATGATATTAAACGAAATGTGTACCTCAACTTGATGATGTCCAGTGTGCCCTCCAGAGAGCAGTGTGTATTTGAGATCTGTGAATAAGGTCTTCCCTCAATGCAAGTCTTGCTGTCTCTGCGTCCATACAGTGCATACTTCACAACGATCCTTCCAGTATCTTTTACACAGTAATTGAGGAAATTAAGAAACAAGAAAAATCCCATCCCTTATATTTGCTTTTGTGGGTATGATTTTTGCACAGTGTACACAAAGAGTTAAGTCGTACCACAGCTCAGGCGATGGACATTGTAGACGTCGCCACAGGTGGTTACTCTCTTTGTGCCAAACACTGAAATGACAGAAGTTATTTGAGTGTGTTCAAACCTCATACTGTTTGTAGCAAACAAATGCAATCACTGTTGCTATCACACCTCCTCAGATATTTACCTGTCTTCATCATGAGCAAACATGTTGCTGCCAGAACTGCAAAAGAAACATCACTGTGAAACGGTGTCAGCCCAACATCGATTTTTCTTTAAGGTTTTACAGATAATTTATATATATGAATATTTATATATATAAATCTATACTCTGTATATTTTTTTTAAAGAAATACTTTGGCTACTTTATCAAGATAGCATCTATTATAATTTGTATTTTACTTAAACCCACATAAGTATTGTTTTAGTCATTAGTCGGCTGTGTACTTACGCAGGGTTGCACTGACTCTGAAGTGAAGCATGTTTTCTAGAAGCTCTAGTCGTAGATAGCAGGACTGATGGTGACTCGCTTTTTCTGCCAGGTGAAGAACTGACCTTGCCTTTTATACAAAACATTTGACATTCTTTATATGGCATGGAGGTATGACAAATGAACACCTTATAAGGAAGGAAGGGTTTTCATTGGGTTGAGACACAGATTTTAGTTGAAAAACTGAAACATATTTTAGGCTAAACAGGTTTCTCAGTTTCCTCCTCTTTTCCATAAATTAAATGGTTGTTCCTGCAAACTGATGATTATCTATTGTATTGCTATTTTGAGTTGTCTTCCTTGAACACTCTCAAGCACTTATTTTTGTTTTCTGGACTTCCTTGAAGACCCAGAAAAACATCAGACACAGAGAGCCACTGAGGTGGAGCTCTGCTTAAGCACAGACATGTCTTTCATTTTCTGTTGAATCGTTACCTCGATATCAAGTTATAATAAAAATGTATCACAAACAGACAAGAAACTGCTGATTTATCAGATTATATTTGACACATTTACACGCTTATTGTGATCTTTTTGTGGTTTCAGTATGCTAACAGCGACTTCTCAAGCAACCCTCATGTGCAGGACTTGTTTTTAAAACATGTGAGGCTAAGAGGAAGTAGGAAAAATAACTTCAGATTACAGCCTAACAATGTTTTCGCCATGATGACTTGACACATAGGGCAAAAACATACTTGGAATGCAATAGTTTGTCAAAACAAAGATCTTGGTAGAACCAGATTGTGCCAAGCATGGGTGGCTCCGCAGAGTTGCTTTTACTGTACATTTCTCTCTAAGAAATATTGCCAAAGTGCGTCCTGTTTTTAAATAAACAAGACACCGACACACCTCATGCATTCATTTAAAGTAGGTTGGACTACTCTTTTCTTTTTACAGGTTTTCCCATAAAGTCAATTGAAAGACTGCAACTTATTCAAAACTCTGCTGCTATAGGCTTTTATCAAAAACAAGAAAAATGTGCACATTACTCCTGTTTTAGCTACGTTACTCTTCATGGTTTGGCACCCTCATATATCACGGAGTCTCTGTCGTTTTATGTCCCTGGACAAGCCCTAAGGTCCTCGTAAGCAGGCTTTCAAAAATATTCCTAAATTCACCCAAAATAAAATCATTTTTAAACGACAGCTGAAGACATAGCTTTTTATTACGACATTTTCTTAGTCTTTTAAAATAAGAGATATTTTTTTTATTTTGCCTCTTGCCTCTTGGGTTATCTGTTGGACATTATGGATCATTAGTTATTTCATTTGACTTTTTTATTATCATAATCGTAAGGGAAACTTCTGTGTAGCTATGCAGTGGGAGTCACCGACTCAGGAAGGAGACACGGTAGGAGCAGTAGCTTTGATGTCAAAACACTGATGATTTATTGGAGTTTCGGCCGTAGCATTCACATCACAAGTCACAGCAGTCCCGGTGAGACTGCACGGGTGAGTTGCCACGTCAATTCTAAAGAACTCTACCTCAGACCCATGTATTTAACTATTTCTGAGAACATCATCAAACTGCTGCATAACAACATAGAATCATAACACCTCTATCAGCTGACGCCAACAGGCAGGGACAGGGAGACAGAACACTGAGAGCACAGCAGCCAAGGTTACGAGGTGTGTGTGCTCAGTCAGGACAGTTTGAACTGATAAGCTGGGTCAAAGTTATGGGTCTTGGAAAATATTTCCACAACAATACCTTTTTTTAACTCCTTGTGTTCCTTGAATTGTAATGTTGTGCTCAAAAAGGTCTTAATGTTTGACCTGAATTGAATTTCTTGTTTTCTGTTTAATTTTTGATGTGTTCCATTTTGTTAAAGCACTTTGAGCTACACCTAGTGTATGAATAGTGCTCTACAAATAAAGCTTTATTATTATGTATCACTTTAGTTAGAATTAGATGACACCGTCATTATCATATTCAAACCAAGCCTTTAGGTAGTATTACTAAGAGGAGTTATTTACTTAAGTAACCAACTATGGAAGTTTGCATCAACAAGTAAATCACATGAAGTGTTCAATATCAAATCAAGAGTATTAAATAGGAGATTTAGCATTATTTATGTGTAAACGTTTTGAAAAGTTATTTTTATCGTTCGAAGACTGTCAATAATTGGAAACATTTAATTGTGATTTCATTTATTGTCCAGAATTAAGACCTAAACTGAATTATACTTTATATTAGAATATGAAGAAGTGAAAATTGTCTACAACCATGTTAGTGTTTCTTTGAGGCTGTTCAGGGTATAAGTGATAAACATCTGTTTAAAGCTGTGTGCTGATTTGAAATCAGCGACTTGAAATTAATTAGAAACATTTTTACATTATAGTGACCCATGGTGGCAGTGTAGAGATATAATAGATTCACAAAGTTTGTCATGAAGTATTTTCTGAAAGACCATCTACCATAGCTATTGTGTTAAAATAGTCTCATTATTATACAAAAATACTTACATAACTTATAAAAACCCAATGCTCAATACATTGTTATGTATCTGCTCTGCTTTTACTGCTGCCCATGTCTATCCCGGTTTAATTTGTACAGTAATTGATACGGCCTACATCTGATTATTATATTTCCCTTGGTTGGTGATTGGCTAATGGTTACACAAGCCAAAAAAAGTTATGACATCATAAAGTGGCCAAAATCTGATCAGCTCATTTTCAGAGAGGTTTTTATAGAAATGGATCAGGACAAAAAGAGAGAGAATCTTTTTTCCTGAAACTTTCTGAATCTCTTTCATGCATTACATGTTGATGTAGAAAAGACATGAAAAAGTGGATTTTGCATAATAGGTAGCGATACAGATATAAAGATAAAAATAACTTTCCATTCATTTGTGCGTTGTATTTTAGAAGAGACATAACTTCACATTTGTTTATGAACATTTATAAGAAAGCAACGTCTTTAATATCAATTTGCAGAGTACAAATTAAACATCATGTTGATTGTCTACTCTTGCAATTCGACAGCTGCTAGTGTCAATAAGACACCAAGCCTATAAACTGGAGAACATTTTCACTGTACATAAATATTTTCTACACCATTACCCAAAAAGTTAAAACAATTAAAAACATTGCAAGATATGACAAACAATAGAAATGTACACTAAGACATGATTGTGTCTGTAAAAACACTTCAGAAATCCCAATTGCACAATGATGTTATTTGCACTATTTTCTTTCTCATGTCTCAAGTGTATTGTATGTTGCATTGTTTGAGGAGACTGAGGCTTAGATTTCCATTACCAACAACTACACTCTAGCTATTGTGCATATGACAATAAACCCTTTGAATCTTTGAAATTACATCCATAAAGTAAACTTTCCTTTCCTGAACGTGACACTGAGAAAAGTAAAGCGGAACTCTGCCGCTATGCTTGGGTTTGAAAGTAGAGAAGCTTGCGGAGGAAGTTAAAGGAACCAGGCATTTGTTTGTAGAGCCCTTTTGCTGAGTTTTGAGAGACTTCATGGTTGACCTGAAAAAAAAGCACAAACAACAATCAGATGTGTCCATGTTTGAAATTTAAAAAGCTCTAAATGGTAAAAAGCTCACCATCATCAACATTGTGACCAAGTCATCGGTAGCAGCATTTTCCTCAAGAATACCATTGAGTGTCTCCACGTACCAGGAGCCTGACTGGGTGTCTCTCCAGGAAACATAACCTGCGTTTGTCACAAAAGGCATTAGAAGGACATACAAAGCAAGTGTATCTCTAGAGTTATAAATCAGGTGAATAATTGCAACACACACACACACACACACACACACACACACCTGGAAAGGTAGAGTAGGACACCAGGATGTCACTGGGGGTGGGCAGCGTTACTCTGGCATCTGGTTCATCAGACATGCTCAGAGAGTCGCTGCTGGACGACATTGGGATGGCGTCCGTCTGATCATCCGCTCCACCGTGGGAGGGTTCAACCTCGTCAGGGGACACCTCAAAGCCTGTGTCTCTTTCACCTGCGGCACAAGAGCAACAACAAGTTTAACTTATGGATTCAAAAATATAATTAAATATTTTAGAAACATTTGTTATTTTGTTTTTTGTTTTTGGGACAGGGTGCAAGAGCACTTAGTTATAAAGGGTGTAATACCGGTCTAATATCATAGTTTAGTTTGGTGTTTTTATGCAAATCAGAGTTCAGAATATTTGTTTTAACAAATTGTATTATATAAATCTTGCTCAGTTTTCTGCCATTGAAAATCTTCTTTTAATCGTTAACAAAAGAGTGCCTTAAGACTTTTTTTAAAATGGTACAGTCATGTTTTACCTGAAATCATGTGATTCTCCAACATACCAGATTTTCTTTTAGGTTTAACATGACTATGCCATTTCAATAAAAGGTACATATTTTTTCATGTAACTTTTTCCAAAGAGCATTTTAAACAAAATGTGTTTCTACCTAAACCCAATTCATTTTTGTACTTACGTTATATATTTAATAAACCCCCTTCTATTTAATATCAAGTTATCTTTTGATTATTATTCTTTCTTGGAATTGGTGTTAAACGTGTTAAACAGTGATAATAGTTTGTTATATAATGATGTTCAACAAAAGTATAAAGAAAATGTACACATGCTTTGTTACTGAGTTATATTAACTGTATGTTCTGCGTTAGCTACCTCCTCCGCAGGCCTGGATGAAGAACAGTTTGGGTTTGCCCTGTAAAGACGGGCAATGCTGGCCATTGAGGTAGTTTGTGATGTGCTGAACTGGGACATGCTGTCCGTCCACACCATACACAGCACCAGGGAATCGGTTGTGACTCACCTACAACAAAAGATATGAGCGTACATTATAAGGCGTTTGGATTTGAACTTGAGCAGGCCAGAGAGAAAAGTGTTTTCTGATTTTACAAAAGAACATGAGGACATGGCTTACCTCAGTCCCATGGGACAGCATGATAACCACACAGCAGTCATATTGGGAGTGGTCCTTCTTACATAAAGATGCAAGTTCATGTTTGATTTGCTGAAATGCAGTGATAACAGTTAGATATATAGTTATGCATTTTCACATGAGTTCTAATACACAGAAAAAGAAGAGATCTCCTTACTCTTTGTTTCAGGTTCGTCCTAACTTCCACAATAAAGTTGAGTGCCTTGAATTTACTCTCCAGTTTGTCACAGTCTATGTTGGAGCCTTTGCGATTGCTCAGCTCGCTCTCGGGTTCAAACTCTACGTTGTTTATGATGAGGCAATGTCCACATGGGCTGGCATCCATTTTATAGCTCTGACACAGGTAGAGAAAAAAAGAGACATGATGTTAATACATAATGCTTCTTCCAAACTTTGTATCTTCTGTTGGTCATAAGCACATGATAAATAAATGCTGCTTACCTGAATACTATCCCGTCTAGTTCTGCCTTGTGGCCTCGGTCTCATGTACTCCCTTTCAGGTGCTGTGACATGAGAATGCATACGTGTTAACCATCAATAAACATACCAGTCTGTAAAAAACACTGAAATGTACCATAAAGCTTACATGGAGTAGGAGTAGTACTGGGTCTTGGGATTGGATGAACACGGACAGCATATTTAATGTTCTTATCGACATCCATAGGAGAGGCTAATAGGGAAATAAAAACACACATATATATATATATATATATATATATATATGTATGTGTGTATATGAGACATCAAAGAATGGTACATTTTGTGATTTGTGGCTATTTTTCTTCCATAACAGGTCTTCTTTCGGATTAATGGACAAAAAACCACCATAATACACATTAAGGTGTTTATTTTGTAGTTGGGCTGTAGATTCCTCCTAAATGGCTTAATTTGCTTATTCAAACATAACATTTTAGAAGTTATATAAAAAATACACGTCTTAATGTAAGAAATCCACTTGCGAAGTGTTATGGTGATATCTATTAGTTGATTTTTCTGTTTAGGTGTAGTGTCTTGTAAAATGTACATTTTTAAAATAAATATATTTAATGGCTGTTTACCCCAAACTATTTGTTCTTATACTCTCAACTTCAGTAGCACAACATATACTATATAGCACACTATTTTTGTAATTTAAAAACATGGCAATCTAAAAAATGATATCCCTCTGTACAATTCTTCGACTCTAGTATGTCAAAATATAAAACTAAGACTTTTGAAACTGACTTTACCCAAAGTCAGAAAACATATGAACATGAGCTCACATTTACTAAGACAATGCCTCAATAACACATTCATACATAACATTTAAAAAAAACTTGCTATACAAAAAAAAAAATCCTAAATGAAATAATCATCTGGATGATATTAATGGTAATATCTCATAGTTAAACATTTGACTTATTCCCCCTGTGGTGTCTGCCTTTAATATTACAGGACCAGAGTTATGTTTGTGTTGTGACATTAATACAGGTGAAATAACGTGCAGTATCACACACTCACACACTGGCAGAGGCTGGAGAACAGGGCGTACAGTCTGGGTAGGAGTAGCAGGCTGGAGCTGAACTGATGGAACTCCACTCTGAAGGAGCTCTGCCAAACTGTGCTGCCCTGCCTCCTGAAGGCAATCCAGAAATAACGGGAAGGCTCGACTCCCCCGGGTCTCCAAGTCCTGGACCAACTGCCTGGCCTGATCACGTCTGGTCCCTGAGCTCTGACAGGAGACAGGTGTACCAACACCACAGTCAAATAAGTGCTGTATAGTAATCCCACAAAGTATTAACCTCAATTCAAATTCAATTAAATCCAAAGGCTTTATGATCATATGCACAGTAGCTAAAGTGCAGTAATGGAATGTACAATCCCAGGGTCCTCCAACAATGCAACATACATATAAGACATAAAACAATAAAAACAATAACAATTGTGCAAGAAGAAACAGAGAATAAATAAATTAGTGCAAGATTATGTTGCAAGAACAATGTGCAAGTAAGGCAGAATAAGTGAACAACGATACATGTAAGATACAATACGCCAAATGTGGCAGAGAATGCTGAAAGTGATCAAGTTAATGCAGGTGTCTATGTAAAATAGAACAAGATGAACAAGAACAGAATGTGAAATTAATTGCTGTACACTGGAATAAATACTACTTAATGTGTAAATGAATCTGCAACCTAATGACGTGACCCATACAGCTGTCTTACCTTGATCTCATCGATCATGTCTTGGGTAAAAACTCCCTTTTCAATAAGACCATCATAAAGGTTCGATGGGTCCAAGTCTCTCACCAGACTGGTCCTGTTGCGCTGGAGGATCTTCTTTTGGCGTTCCTCCATTTAATACTACACAATAATTCGTCGAGGTAGACAGAGAAATATCGTAAAAGTCGTATAAAAGCCGAAAATCTTGTTTCAACAACAGAGGAAGTCGTTATCCTTCAATTGTGAAAGCGAAATTATACGTTGTTCCCGTAAAGATATTAGAAGTTCCTGTCTCATTTCTCTTGTTTGCTCTCCGTTGCATTAGCAATTTCCTTGTTTACATCACCGCTGTCTGTGATTGGTCCACTGAGAGACTACCTACAGAAAAAAACAGGGTGCGCTTGATTTTACTTACCGCGCACCGCTGCCGCAATACCAGCGTAACATAATGCATGAACACGGAGCGACGGGCATTAAACCGAACACAAACAAATAAAGCATTAGGTGTCATAAATACTCAATATCCCCAAATTAATTTCGACACTGGGCGCCTCCCCCTCTCTCTCCTATCAGCAGCAGTTTGTGATCTCGCCCTGGAGGAGCTGCGGGGGATGCTGCGGAACACACCCTGTGCTGTGCTGTGCTGTCTCTTCACATCAAGCCGAGGAACATCAAAACGCTCATCAATTATGTGACGTACGACCGGCTGACTGCATCTGCTTCAGGTGAATTTAGAGCTTGTTGCGTTTAGATAGCTAGCTAGCAACGCAACTAATCTTAATGAAGGAAACAACTGCATGAATGTTTTTATCCTCGAGGAATAAGGTTAATGTCACATCCTACTGACATGTCAGCTGCATTATGATACGGTATCATCTGTTCTGCACTTGTAAGTTGACACATATCCTACTGCCTAGCTTCTGTAGTTAGCATGCTAAATGCCATTTTAATATAGCTACCCGGTTGTCATCCCTTTTCATCATTACTATCTATGCTAACATCCGTATGGAAGACAAGACTGTTTTGGATTTGCAAGTCAGCTAAAGGCAATGTCATGATTGCAGACGCCTGAACATCCTCAGAATGAATCCACCTTAACTGTTGAATATTCTTGTGATGTGCAAAAGGTTTCTGCGATGATGGCAGGGTCAAAGATGTCCGCACCGCTGGCTCTGGTGCTGGTCCTCTCGGTGCTGCTCACAGGAGTGGCCCATGCTGCTGGGCCTGAGATGGACCCATACAAAATCCTGGGAGTAACCAGGAGTGCAAGCCAGGCTGAGATCAAAAAGGTTTACAAGCGTCTGGCAAAAGAATGGTAAGTAGTATTTCTCACAGTACAGTGTCACTGGCCTGTTTTGTTAACCTCATTCATGTATTCTTATAATAAGCATCTTCTTCTTGTGTCAAGGCATCCGGACAAAAACAAGAGTCCAGGAGCTGAGGACATGTTTATTAAGATTACTAAATCTTATGAGGTTAGTCATTTGTCCAAATTCATCATTATATTGTGCACAGGGTTACCGTAAGTATCATATATTCTGTGTAAGCTGTGATAAAAGACTGTAACATGTGCATGAGGAAGAAGGAAGATAAGATACCATTTTTATAATTCAGAAGGAAATTCTTGCCAGAGATTTATCAAAAATAACAAAACATTAGAATGAAAAAAACAAACAGTGTGTATAAGAAATAATATTAACAAAATGTCCTAAAAGAAAACATTGAAAGTAAGATAAATGAATAATAATATGTTTACTAAAATTGAAAGCTAATATTGGGCCCGATATTGAACAATCTAAATATTGCACATGATATTGAAAGGTCATATTGCACATGATATTTATGTTTTTTCTTCTGTATTTATATTTATTCTATCCTAAATCCAGATCCTGTCCAGTGAAGACAAACGTGCCAACTACGACCGTTATGGGCAGACTGATGACACGCAGCCATACGGTGGCAACGGTCGCTACGGTCAGCGCCAGGAAGGCTTTTATTTTGATGAGTCCTTCTTCAACTTTCCCTTTAACAGCAAGAACCAGAGGGACTTTGCTGACAGCAAGTACACGTTGCACTTTAACCAGTATGTCAACGAGGTGGTGCCTGACAGCTACAAGAGACCGTACCTGATAAAGATCACGTCCGACTGGTGCTTCAGCTGCATCCACATTGAGCCTGTTTGGAAAGAGGTGGTGCAGGAGATGGAGACTCTAGGTTTGGAAATAGCCTGTCAATCATGCAGAATTATTGAGCAGCCCGGCCATCTGTGTGCATTTTGGCCGATTTGAAAAGGTTGATGTGTGTATATTTGAGAAAATGCTGTGTTTGCAGGTGTCGGGATAGGTGTGGTGGATGTTGGCTATGAAAGAAGGTTAGCCAATCACCTTGGCGCTCATCGCACACCATCCATACTGGGAGTTATAAATGGCAAAGTGATGTTTTTCCATTACGCTGTAGCAAAGGAGCACCTCAGGCAGTTTGTAGAAGACCTTCTCCCTCAAAGACTTGTAGAGTGGGTACGTATCCCCGCGTCTTACACTTTTTGCAATCAGTACATTTTTAGGGAGGATGACTAAAATATTGGCCATGTAAGATTTAGGTGTACTGATTTTTAATGACTATACAATAAAAAACGAGTTAAATGTTGTGCTTTTTGTGTACTTCAGGTCACCGACAAGAATTACCTGCAGTTCTTGAGCAGCTGGCATGAGCTCAACAAGCCTCACGTGCTTCTGTTTGACCAAGTGCCTGTAGTTCCTCTGCTTTACAAGGTAGGCTCTTGCAGTTTGAAATGCTTGTTTTGATTCACAAAATATGCAAACAAATTTTTTAAATATCAGTACATACAGTACAGAAAAAATATGCAAGAAAATAAAATGAGACTATTAAAAGAAAAATAAATAAAAACACGAGTATATTTATACAGCGGTACCATAATTCTCCAAAAGATTAATACTTTCTTTGCTTGATGAACTAGACTAAATTATCTGAGTCGATAATTCAGTCAAGGAGAGAAGGTTAAAACGTTTTCACTTAGTATTGAAATATATTCAGCTTTTAAATGAAAACAAAAAATATATTTATTATTAAATTAGTTAGATATTCAAGAGTGCCATCATCTGGATTATCATGGTAGCAATTAGGGTATTATAAGAGTAGACACAGAATCTCCAAAAAAGGCAAATTGGCAAACAATGCTTTTGACATTATCCAAAAAAAAGTCAATGTGTTTAGACATTAGACAAAAGTAGGATATATTTTATGTCAAATGTATTAGTCTATGTCTGGTTTATTCCTTCAATTATTGACCTCAAGATAAATGTGACTCACTTTTTAATTTTCTTTTTTTTAAGTTTGTCAAATGTGCCTATTGTTACACTTTAAGATCTTTTAATTAAATTAAATCCATCATTGGTAAAGGCTATGTTTTTATTTTTAAAGAAAAGTACCAGTAATTGCATTGCTCACATGTCAATCCTTTCTCTCTACATCTTCATAGCTCACAGCGTTTGCCTATAAGGACTACTTGCAGTTTGGCTATGTGGACCAGGGCCTCTCAGAGACCGCTGATCTGCAGAAACAGTTCAATATTAACACCTACGCTCCGACCATGTTGGTGTTCAAAGAGAGCATTGAAAAGCCCGCTGACATTATACAGGTCAGTCACAGCAGCAGATAGCTATTATTCATTGTTATCTATACACTGCACTTTTGTTCACAAAAAGGTTCATTCACTCTTTTTTATTTATGGTTATGTTTGTTCTCTGCAGGCTAAAGGAATGAAAAAGCAAATTATTGATGAGTTCATGTCAAACAACCGATTTCTTCTCGTGCCACGTTTGGTCAATCAGAAACTCTTTGATGAGCTCTGTCCTGTCAAACAGTTTCATAGAAGAAGAAAGTAAGAGAATCTTACACCACACCGCCTTTCTTTTTTTTTGTCAGAGACTATTAAAATACAGAACCAAAATAATTCTGTTCGATGCTGTAATTTCCACATTTATTTTGAAGTATTTTAAGAGATGTATCTTTTGCATTATGTTATGTCTTTCCTCTCTTCAGATACTGTGTCCTGCTGATAACAGGCGATGAAGAGACTTTTTCTTTTGGGAACCAGGCGTTTCTTTCCTTTGCCTCCACCAATAGCAAGGAAGTAGTGAGATTTTCATATGTTTATCAACGGCTACAGCAACCTCTCTGTGACATCTTCATGCAGAACAAGGACACTGCAGAGTCTCCAGCACAGGTACCTGTTCAACCAACACCACAGCTGTTGTTCAGCTCATTTAAAGCTTTTATGGTCATTTGCGAACAGGTATCACTTTTCGATATATAGAATGCATGAAAGCTATTGGCTAAGCAATGTATTGTTACAAAGATTTGAGATGAAGAGATTATGATTTGAAGGGTTTTACTTCACTGCCAAAACAAATAGCGGGAATGTTTTTAGGAATGTTATGGCTATAAATGATATATAAACAAACCACTCTTTACAAACATCATCATACAGATAGGTATGTATCCATATGGTTCATCTTCTAAGTGCTACTGAATTGGAGATTTCAAGTTCAGAGTATGAGAAAAATTTAGATTCAAATTGTAAAATTCATACATTTTTAAAAACACTAAAGGTGAACTGGGTAAAACAGGGTAACAAATAAATCACCATGTAATTTCCCCAGTCGGTTACTTACGTTAAGAGAATTAAATTATACTGCAATGTTATGTTTAAATGTAATTGAGGAGAAATGTACGGACATAAATAATATTAACAGGGGGAGTTTTCTTCCCTCAGGTGGTGATCCTGGAGAGGCGTAATGCTGCAGGGAAGGCCTTGTTCAAGCCAGTGACCGCCTGGAATGGCAGCGATGACGACAAGCAGCGTCTCCTGGAGGAGCTGGAGCGCCTTCAGAAGGACCCGTCCATCCTCGTCCATGACGCCATGCTGCCCGAGCTCAACAACGAGTTTGCCTCTGTACGCTCTCTTTGAGTAAAGCAGTGCGCTTTAACAATGCCTGTCCGTGTTAGATATCAACCATTAGTCCTGTTACTAAATGTTTTAATCTCTCTGTGTAGATGTTTGTTATCCGATGGATCTATGCATCGTACGATTACCTCTCTGAAGTCATCGATGATATTCTGCATAACAACTGGTAGGTAGTGATGTTTAGTTTTAAGCAACTCCAAAAACATGCATGTATATGATTTTGATGTTACTGAATAACCGTTGCTGAGCTACAGTTTTCATTTAATTTGCTAGAAAACGTTTAAAACACTTATTTAAAAAATGTTTTAGTGATGCAATCCTTTATCATTGACATATACATTATTAACACTTCTTCCTGATACTCTTCCCGTCAACCAATTCCATTACTTCAAGGGCAATTTTAGCATAATTCGTTTGGCAAATGCCATATACTTTATTTGGGATTTATACTAATATTAATA